ATTGATATCGAATCGATGATTTCGATATGTACATTCAACATCTAATTGATGATCATTTCTTGTTGAGTAATTAACAATTTATTCCGAAAGAATAAAATAGATTGTACGTGTGTGTTGTGTTTCTCAAAATTATATATATCAAAAAGATGCATATTAATTATAGAAAATAGATTAAAAGTAAGCAAAAATTAAAAATTATATTGTTTGATGCTCAAAAAGTATGTTTTTTTTTATGTTAGAACAAAATGTATTTATTACTTAAAATTGCTAAATAATGTTTTACTTTTACAAGTAATGCTTGTTTCATTAAAAAATTTCCTTGTATATAAATACTTTTTGCACTTATCGTAATTAAGTCTTATTTTTGCTTTTAATATTGTTTTTATGCTTAGTTTTCTTATATTTATGTTTAGCCAATCTTTTTAGATTAGATTGTATTTAACTTCAACCTTTTAGATTACATTGTGTTTTTGTATTTAACTTCAATTTTTTTTAACTGTCTTTCGCACTATTTTATCACAAAAATATATGGTTACGTAATGTTTAGATACTAGTGCAAGTATCCGCAATATAATCAGCTTTATTTATAAGTTTGCGTACTCGGTGGACTTACACGGAAGTAAAAACACGGGTTTTTAAAACCGAGAAAGTTTTATTATACATAATAAGAACACATAATAACATAAAGAGAACCGTAACAGAATACTTCAACGAAACATCGTAAATGTCATTTCTGTCAATCATAAGTTCTTGTTTGGGCTTTTTGAAGATCCCTGCTGATCTGAAGATCGATCTGTCGTCAAGAAAATCTTCTTCCTTCATGCCAGCAACAGCTATTCGACAAGACGAAATCAAAATTGCAAGATGTAACACTTATAACTCGTGTAACTTGTAACAATATAAAATGAACTAGAAAAGTAAACAGAATATTTTACATTAAAAAATAAGTATAAAATGCTGTGGTAAAAAAAAGTTGATAAAGAACGATTAAGAACGATAGTATTTCTATTAATTTGTATTATTTTATGTAAGTTTATATCATTTTTTGTCGTCGACTTTGCGAGCATCGCGATTGATCGGCTATGAATTCTATCGTATTTTATCAAGTTCTATAAGATTTGTACAGGATTCCTATAAGATTTGATTCAAATTAGTAAATTTACAAATCAGATTCCGTATTCAAAATGATAGAATTTTTCTATCGTTCTCTATTAACTTTTTTTATCAGAGTATATAAAAAAATATTTTTATATAATATATATTTCATTATTGAGATAAAATTGGACTTGAAAACTTGTCGAATATTTACGCGTGGGCTTGCCTAACTTACGATTAACAGATTTCATTACATACACAACTGAGTTAATTTTGTTAAAATTTGTTATGATCATAACAATTTGTTTAAAATATATATTTAAAAAAATAAAAAATGACATATTTTAACAATTTCAATAATTACATTTATTAATTGATAAAACTGTTATCTGTTGTATGTATATATTATCAAAACATCGCATTAATTCTCTCTTACCACAAAAATTCTTTTATGTTTAATTTATCATTAAATAATCTGCAATTTTTATTTATAAAATTATCGTTTATCCTCTGTCTCCTATTTGTGTTCGAGGGTTATGTCGCGTAGTGTCTAATTGTGTCGATAGATGGCGAAAACTTGTAACTCTATGTTTCTCGTTAGTACATATGAACGTACCATTCAGTATATAAGCAACATCGTAAAAGGTAGGTCTTGTACTTGCTTCGGCAGTACATATACTAAAATTGGAACGATACAGAGAAGATTAGCATGGCCCCTGCGCAAGGATGACACGCAAAATCGTGAAGCGTTCCACATTTTTTGCAGTTTTGCATACCTATTATTTATTTATTTTAATAAAATTTCGTAATAATTTATCTTAAAAATTAAATGTCACAATGATTGAACTGATGAGTGACAATTAGTTTTATTTTTATGATATATCAATTGCTGATGGATATTATAAAAAAATCAATATTTATTAGTGTTTTATTTAAATTTGTTAGTGTATGCACGTATCTTATTCTTAGTTTAGGGTAAGTCCTATATCAATACACTCTCATCGATCTCGATACGCAGAATGTTTATCAACGTTTATTTTGCAACTGTTGGAAATTTTTTTACTGTTGCTTGATGGAAAAACGCGTGTACTATAATGTATTTAAACATTTTTTTAATAAATAATAAATGAATTTATTTATTATACCAGAAGGTTTACAGGTTATCGCCGTGTCTTTCTTCATTATTAATGCCAACGTTTCGTGAATCATTCCGTTCACTTCATTAGGGCGTGGGGTGCGCTGATACTCACCCTGATACTCAACCTTCTGGTATAATTGAAGAAAATGCCCGTGAAAGCCTCGAATGCGTATTTATTTATTGTTAAAATATATATCATAAATTAGTTTATCTATTGTTATTCGTAACATTAGATACTAATTTATAATATACATTTTAGCAATAAATAAATACATTTATTACTAAATAAAAATAGATTATTCGTACATTCACTTATATAGTTATGTATGATAAAATTCATTAAGTCTAGAAAGTGCACGCGTACCAAATAATTCACAATTCGTTAATGTGTTATGACACGAAAATAAGACTCAGAGATCTCCAAAGCAACATTTTTAAATGAGATTTGTAAAATTTCTTATAATTTTTTGTAGAATTTTAATTTAAAATAAACAATTGCGAATAGAGACATTAAAAATACAAATTTAAAGAGCTAGTGTAATTGCGCAGTTAACTGTTTGGGACAAAATATTTTTCAGATTGTATTAAAAAATTGGAAAATATAATAATTGTACAAATTCTTTAATAATACACTTTTAAATAAGAGAAGTAAAAATAAACGAGTTACAATTTACATTATTAATTTGCAAACAGATTAGTATTAAATAAAAAATATTAAATACATAAAGTAATTTAAGTAACACAATTCTGGCTCTCAATTTTTTGCTGTGTAAATAAAATTGTTATCTGTAACCGATTATTTATTCATGTGTATAAAAAAAATTTTGTTTAATTTTTTATTGACGCTTTTATCTGTTTACTGAAGTTTAAGTTTATCGTGAAGTGATTTCTTTCGAAATGTTGATAAAATATTAATTAGCCATCAAAATTGAGTCATTCATAGATTGAACTGAAGAAGTGATCAATATCTAATCAAATAATTTATAACAATAAATAGCAGAGTAAGAATTATAAAATTAACTGTATGTGTGTGTGCAAGAGCAACTTACCTCGATAAACTAAAAACCAACATGTCATGAAGATTTAAATGAATTTAAATTTTCCATAATTACGCAAATAATTCAAATATGATTTTTTAATTGAATTTACATATACAGGGTTTCCGGAAAATCGCCTACCCCACTTCGAGAAATGATACGGAATCCAAAAGAAGAAAAGAAAAAATTATACCAGAAGGTTTACGGGTTATCGCCGTGTCTTTCTTCATTATTAATGACATTAATGAAGAAAAACACGGTGATAACCCGTAAAGCCTTAGAGTTCCGAAGAACCACTCGACCGTGACACGTTTCGGATCGGATGCTCGTTATTGTATATTTTTGAAAGTGTTGCCAATTTTGACTGTGCATTGGTTTTTATCGATGTGTGTCCGCGGTTGGGCTCGTCTCGTTCGTTCGTCCTGACGCGCGTTATCGCGGCGCCGCGCCGGCGTGACGACGTCGTAGACGCAGACGCCCGGTGTCCGTTCGGGCTACGCCATTTACGCGGGCATTGCATCACCCACTTTGTTTCTATATTTCTTTTTGTATGCATATTGTACCTTTTTGATACGACTGGCCACGTTAATCCGGTTATAACGGGATCTGGGCCACTTAATTAAGAAGAAGAAGAAGAAGAAGAACCCATAAACCTTCTGGTATAATTGAAGAAAATACCCGTGAAAGCCTCAAATGCGTAAAAAAATGTAAACTTTTAAGTCCGGAAATAAGTCGTTTCCGAGTTATGCAGCCTAGCCACTTTTAAGTTAAAAAAAATCATAATTTATTTTTCATAATCGTAATGTATTTTATAGTATTTTAATATAAATAACTTTTTTGCCGAAATGCGAATTATAGTCTAAATTATTCAGATTATTAATTAGCCAGTCAATGTTGATATATATATTTATATAGTTTGAAATACATTATACATACACGATAAACAACTTTTTCATAAGGATATTTCATAAGAGAGAAAAGGGGGTCTGGTGAGTATTGATCACTTGAAATAAAAATATTCGTATCTCACGCGCTCGCTTCTTTGTTCGTTCAATTTCCATATCCTGTAAATATTATGTGTTCTGTTCCGAATTTCTAAGATAATTTGAATTTAACACACAATATTATTATTACGCCTGTTGGCAAAGAAAAATTTCCATACATCAAGAACGTTTCTAAGATGGTATAGCATTATATCGATAAATAAGTTCAAAAACATAGAAAGTTACAGATGGATTAATAAACTACGTAAACTCATCAAGGCATAAAATGACAAAAACAAATTCTTAAAAAAAAATAATGTAATTTACAAAGTTTAGAATGCAATATCTCGTACGAATGCTAAACCAAGAAACAGCTTAATACAAGATTAAGAAACATAGATACTATTTAAAATTAAAATCGGCAAAGTTGCTATTAATATAAGCATATATATAATCTTGAAAATTTACTTGATACGGAAATTATTATACAATTATTAATATTATTATACAATGAGAAATCATTTCAGAAATAATCTATATAAAGTATTATAACAGGCAAATATTATTAATAAATTAAATTATAATAATACCAATAAAGAATTCTTAGACGATTGCTATTTTGATATTCTTGACAGATTCGCGGAAATTTCTTGAAAATATTGGTTGTTGATTGTCTTATCTTTCAAGCTATGTTTTTCTTTTATTATTTATCTTCGTTATTAAACCTTCATTTGCTGGAAAGACGTCGTGCAGAAAAGACGTATCATACAAATTGATATCGTGCTTCAGCTGTCACTGTTAAATTACAAGGTATTAATTTTACTTTATTTTTGGAAGAATATATAACTATTCGATTAATGTGTAGCATATTCGCAGATTATTAAGTTTAAAAGGAACTTGTAAATTGCTAACGAATAGTAGAAGTTTCGCGTATTATGCGTACGTTATAAATAAATTTGGTAATGAACAAAATATCTATCACAACACACGATACAGAGATACGGCATGTGTATGCTAAAAATTGTTATTATTATATATTAGGGCTCAAATACTCGGCGCTACTTTGTGACAGAAAAATATCGCAGACCCGTTCAAATAATTAGTCTTTTAGTCTTTCGACTCCGTCACAGTGTTGCGCTTAGATGGTTTTAAAATGATCTAGATGGAGATGAGATGGAAATCCGCAAATCCATCTTAGATGAGATGAAGATGGTTTTAATTTGCAAAAATCTAGATGAGAGATGAGATGATTAAACGATCCATCTAGATTGTTTTTAGATGGTTTTGTTTTAAAATAATTATAAACATAAAATGTTCCGCTGATCGAAAAAAGGATATATGAACGCTCACATTTTTATTTATAAGTCTTTATTTTTTAAAAACAAAAGTTTCTCAAAATTCCCATCCGACAGATGCTGGATTCACACTGCATCCGATTTTCGTCGTACGACGACTCTGCAACCAATCAGAAAAATCGTATCATCGATAGGAAGCAAAATTTTGTTTCCTGATTGGTTGCAGAGTCGTCGTACGACGAAAATCGGATGCAGTGTGAATCCAGCAAGATGGTTACGACAAGGTACATATATTTGTTGTCCTATATTAAACAACCGCTCTACTGGCGCAGATGATGATAAAGAAGTATTATATTTAAAAAATATTTTTTTACATTAGGGAAATTTACGAGGGAACATAAATCCTTTGATTTTGATTTTAAATAGGAAAGCGCTTCTATGCTGCTGCTGATAATAGGTTGCATACTAATAAGATTATTTTTTTTCATAAAATCGTAAGAAAAAGAAAAATGTCAGAAATGTCTGAAAATTGTAAGAAATAAACCTATTTATGTCGAAAAAAAAAAAGAAATGTCGATTAAAATCATCTAAAACTTTTTTTAGATGGGATGGTATATTTTTCTCTCTAAGATGAAGATGAAGATGGTTTACATTTGCACAAGCTAGATGTAAGATGAGATGTTCTAATTTTCCATCTAGATGACCATCTAAGATGGTTTCATCTAGATGTCGGCAAACGCTTCCGTCAAACATAGATTGGTCACCATATATAAAAGAAATTGAGGGAAAGGTGAATGTGAGCAGCGGATTCTTGGATATTATTCGGGTCACCAAAAAAAAGAATAAAAGAGAAAAATAGATTACAGTTTCGTGATACTAACAGTTAATTTATTCACAAGCACGCGGAGATGCGACAAAGAAAGTGTACTCGATTTTACATTCACTCGCTTAGACAAGAATGTCAGATATTCGGTGACGATACAAATTATACGAAAGTCATTGGTTCTTGGAATAAACCGGAGGATTAGGGGTGACGCAGAATAAAAGGAACAGGGAACAGAGAACAGAGAAATAAACAATGTGTATTCCATAGTATATGATTTCTGATAGGTTGAAATTTTTATTCTCTATTCCCTGTTCCTTTTATTCTGCGCAGCCCTTACTCGAATCGTGATTGTACCCGTCGGCTGATCGACTCTCCCTAATCTCATGCTCGCTTCTTTGTTCGTTCTTTCTTGCAATTTCCATGTTCTACAAATATTATTTCGCGTGTATGTCTATCGGTCGTCATCGTTATATTTAAAATAATAAATTATATTACAATACTCTGGCTAATGATGCTTTTCGTGTAAATTAAAATACAGATTTAATAAAAAAAATACATTAATTACAAAAATAATTTATATACATTTTGAGTTCATACTCATCTAGCCTTTACTTTCCTATTCGCGACTCGTATTACGAAACCGATGAAAAACGGTCGCAAGAAATTCGTGAGTTTAAAAGGCTCTTTGTATTTAATCTCGCGTCTAACTGTTTCTTCTTATTGTGTATGTCAAGTGTATATTGCGTCTGTGTGTTATCTCTAAACGACTGTTTTTGCGAAATTTAAACTTGTGACAATACAATCGCCACAGTCTCTTCGTGGAGCGATAAAGATATGTTATATACAATAGAACAATTATTTCATTATAACGTAGATCTGTACAATCGGGTTTGCACGCATTTTCACGTTTACACATTACATTGAAAGAAAAAATGTATTATTAAAAATTATATTTTAAATTTATTTCTATTACACAAACATTGATAATGATGTGATTGTAAAATTACTGATAAAACGTTATTTCTGTTTGAAATTAAGCAATGAAGATCTTATTTATAATTTGTTTGTTTGTATTATACATATTTTTAATCAAACATGTTACATATATAATTATTTCTCGTATGAATGGTAAGAGAGATCTCAATTATGTATAAAGTGTTCAGGACACCTATCATGGAAATGTTCAAAATGGATTCCAATCGGAATTATTCATTTATTCCCTAGATTTCTATTATGTTTTCTAAGGTAAACTAAAGAATAATTCACAAGATGAGAATCCATTCCATAATAGGTGCTTAGCGTAACGGTCCGTACAATTTTTTAAACACTTTTGATGGTTAAAAAGAAAAGTTGAAAGATGAATATTTATCTATTTCATATGGACAACAACATGCAATAAAAAAATTTAAAAAAACTTTTTTAATAAAAAAAAAAGTTAAGATTATTCAAAATTTTTTAAATAGCATTATACAATTTTTTTCTTATAATATTGTAGGGGTTTTCAAGATGAATTTAACGCACTGTCGAGAATGTCTTTTATTGATGTTTTATTAATTTTTTGTGAAAAGCACACTTTAGATCCTATTTTTTTAGATCCCAAATTAACAATTGATACAATAAATAATTCCTTATCGGCGATGTATTACCTTCTTATCACAGTCTAACTTGTATTTGTACAAAATACATTGTGATTACTGAAAAACATATTTGAATGAAAGTCTCTCGTGCAATAAATAATAATGTTTAAAACTAAATAAGAAGAATGTCAATTATCGTAAAGACCAATTTTTATTACAAACGTAAATTATTCTAAATTGTAGTCAGCATATTAAAGATTGGAATATGATCAGTCAGCATCGATGCATATGCATAATGCAGTCCATCGATATCTGAACATAAATTAAAAGGATTTCACTATTGCATTTTTTGTAAAACTTTTCACGTTACTTAGTATTCGAATAAAACACTGTATATATACGGCATTGCGTTATTATACATATATATATATATATATATATATATATACATAATTATATTTCTGATTAAATATCTCGATTTACAAATACAGTTTCATATAAAGGTCATATAACTAATAATGGCACGACATATAAGTATCTCTTCTCTTTCTCAGTTATTTCTCTGCCGGTTAACAAAAACTATAAAAACAAACAGCGTTTTATCAGCTTTTTGTAAATCAAACTACGTGATTTTTGTTCTCCTTTTTATTTTTCATCAAGACTGTATTTTGCAGATAATAATTTGCAAAAGATCTGGTTTTCACTTACCAATGATGCAGCTGGCCACGATCGCATCATCTCTCATATTGTTCTACGGCCTTTTTAGTACGATCACGACTGTCATAAGCAACGACCATGATGTGGTAAACATATATTCTTTTAATTTCAATAAATTCCTAATGCCATAAGATGCATTAAAAATGTTTCCAGACAAATCGCTGAGCATCTCTTTACCAATTAGTAAACTCCTCAAAGCTATAATAATAACCTTTTGTTAGGATATTATGCCCAGTCAATTATATCTATGATTATAATCAGGAAATCACGTTTTCAGAATTTGTATAAATTCAATAAATTTTTTTAATTTATTTTAAAATTGTCGATTAGATGAAATGGAGCATAAAATGATTATTACTCGTTTACGAGAAATAATTTAGATACTACAAAGAGATAATAATAGTTTTAATCTTAGATGTGTAATATAGCATTTTCTTTTGTCTTAAGATAATTTCAAATATTTATTGATTCATTAATTTCAAGTATAGGCGTAATAAAAACTGTGCATTTTTTTTATCATAGAGCACATCTATGCTTCGTTAGGAAGATAATGCGACGATATATTGAATCACTACTTTTTTTCAACTCAATATTTTAGAAAAGGAGTTAGTGTTACTAATCAAATTATCATCACTCATTCCTAATTTTATAAATAACCTATACTATACGTCTATAATTTTTAGTAATATAAATGTTCTAGGAAATAAACTATTTTTATACGTATACTCTTACGGACTTTTTTTTTCTTACAGATGACGATAAAGAATGTGTCAATGAACGAAGGTTGATATACGTCTCAAATTAATTGTAGTATATTTTTAAAAATTATCATAAATCGCACTTATACAAAAAAAATAGCGTAATTCTCTATAAAGATCTATAAATCAATTTTATTTAACATACTATTATTATGAAATATGATTTAACATTTTTTTGTACATTTGTTGATAATTTATATTTACCAATGTTGTAATATCAATTTTTATATATAATAGAAAAATTTTGCGAGATTGTTGCTTATTATTATATATTTTTTGTATTCTCCTTAACGATCTTATTGTTATGTTTTCATAAACAATTTTGCAGAGTTGTCAACTTCATGTATCTTAGGCGTCAAATATGTCTCAATAGCCTTATATACGAGGTAAAAGCTTAAGTGAGTATCCATTATCAACTTATTTTTCGTACCGCTTAAATGTTCGCATTCTTACAGCGATATACCTAATGGAAAATTTGTCCAAGTAAATGAATCCTGCGATTTTCTCAATTCTTCGACATCGGTTTTTTTCATGACTCATGGATTTATTGCAAATTTTTCCAATTATAATTTATCTGCCGTTGCTTCCCAATTGTTAAAGGTATTTAAACATTTTTTGTACATTCAAGAATCAAATTAAAACGCAGAACATTTTTCTATAATTTTAAAATCTTATATAATATAAAAACACAATATTGTCAGATTTACAATAAAAGTATTAAATAAAAAAATTTCTCTTCTCTGTAGAAACATTATACAGTATTTTCGCTAGATTGGTCTGACGCAGCGTGCTATAACGATCCAGCCGTTATAAATTTGCTAGAGTATCCCTTTGCAGTACATAATGTTCGCGAAGTTGGTAACCACTTGGCAAGGTATAGCTCTATGTGTCGCAATGTTATGTCAAATTAAATTTTAAGAAAGTGTAACAAATATAAATTTAAATTAAAATAATTCTAAAGTTAGGTAATACCGATAATCAACGCATAATATAAAGTAAATATAGCGCATCTATTGAAGTTTAGCTTTATATGTTTATGTACTGACAGAAGTAATAATAATCAAGAAGTAATTTTATATATGTATAAATTGCATAAGAAACACGATGCTTTTTAGTTAATAAATTCATAGTATAAAATTTCTCTTTTAGCTATATCAAATTAGTGTGCGACACATGCAGTGTTCCATTTGAGAACATTGTACTTATAGGCCACAGTCTTGGTGCACATATAAGTAGCTTTGCCGCAAAAGAACTTCAGACGTCGAATTATGGCACAGTTCCACTTCTCATTGGTTCCGATCCTGCGGGTCCTCTTTTCATGCTTAAAGGTTGCGAGGATAGATTTTGTGACAAAGACGCCGAACGTGTAATAGCTCTTCATACATCTGCTCTCGGATTACAGAAATCTATAGCTCATCTTGATTTGTGGTTTAATAATGGATTAAATCAACCAGACTGTGGTGGTAATTATTACAATTAACTTAAAAATAAATTATTCCAGAAGAGAATATCGTAAAAGCCGCAACAAAAAAAATGAATTATTAGAACGAAGTAAAAATTTTTGTTTTTTTTTACAGGCCAGATAATCGGTACTATGAATCTCAACTGCTCACATAACATAGCCATCATGTATCTGGCTAATATGTGGTTAGATGATTGTGTCTATATTGGTGTTCCTACACTGTAAGTTTGTCCTTTTTCTTATGAAGAGCATGTTTAATTTTACAAAGTAGTTTTACGACATAGTAAACTTCTCATATATAATGTATATATATGTATATAGATTTTAATCGCCTTCAACGATAATAATAAATCTACATTTATACGAGAATACATTGTGTCGTATCCGAGCTTTCTAATGAATGGGCCTTGTAAATGGTATATTTTTTAATAATATATAAATAAAGGCCATATTTTTTATACGAATCCTGGTAAATTAGTTTTTAAATATAATGCTGTATGCAGCTATAATGTAATGAATCATAAATACAGGACTTAAATGGATAGTTTTTTAGTTCTGTGGTATATTATATAAAGGTGCTCTGTGCATAGGTACAAGTTTTATACCTTTGGCATACCATAGCTCAAAAACTATTTATTATTGAGTCTTGTGTTTATGATATTTTTTATTCATTACATTATCAGTTAGGTATAATACATTATGGGTGCGTTCGCTTTTTGCGCTTACTGCTGTAATAATCATTTTATCCTTGTTATCTATTAAATATTAAGCAAGGACAAATAATGTTTATAAGCGCTATGAAAGCAAAAGCGATCGCTATATATATATATATATTAAAGACTTCTTTATATCTAAAAAAATATTATTTACAAAATCTATTTAATAAAACGTTAGGACATGTCATAATTTATTTTCAATGTAGATTTATAATGTTAAAGGAAATAAAAATCAGTGACAAGAGTTCACTGTGTCCTCTCCTTGTTAGATCTTCTGAATCAAAAGCCTTATAATATTAAATTGAAAACAATATCAAATGGTCAGAAGCTGCATTATTATATAATAAAATGTACATTATTTATTTTTTTTTTTTTTCAGACCTAGATTTGGTATTCCTAGGTATGTATAAACAAATAAATATTTACTTAGTTACTATAATTATTATATTTATTTATATGGATACTCTTATTTTGCGACTATCGTATTATTACGATTGTGGGTATTATTGCAGTATGGTGTCTGGTTGCTCTTCTGTCAGAACCAACTGCATCATCGTGGACAATAGGATATTTTATCGTAACTATACCACGGTGGGAGACTATTGTGTTTCTGTGAAATCGAAATATCCTTTCTGTACAGAGAACAATTCTGAATGTTAAAAATAAGTTATAAGCAAATTTAATACTTTAATTTCATTGTAAAATTCAATATAAATTGAGTTTTGCCATTGTTAATTTTATATTGTGATAAACAAAATCAGATTGTGTAATTTACATGATTAGTATCTTTATTTGGCACAGACCTTTATTGTTAAAATCTTTGTTATTGATAAAATAAAACATTGCAATCTATAAAGTTTAATCGCAGTCATTAATAGACAGAAATTTGGACAAAGAATGAAAAAAAATATATAAAAACTATTATTAAATTTCAATGCGCACATTGTTCTACATTTCTTAAGTACTTTATTGAATTAAATTATCTTTATAACAATTTTATGCTATCTTACATATTTTTTTGTATAAGTTAATTTGTTCAGAAGTGCCAAAAAATTTACGGGTTATTGCCGTGATGTGATTCAATGCTAATGCCAACGTTTCGTGAACCTTGTTCACTTCATCAAGGTGTTCCTCGTGCAGATTGACGTTTTCAAGCGATATACAAAGCTCAATTGTGGATGCATCTGTTTGATGATATAAGCTTACTGCAATGCGGATAATCCACATGTGTGCAATATGCAGCCATTTTACGAGCACATTGTTGCCTTGGTATAAATAAACCTGTTTTTTTTCTCTGCCGGTTAACAAAAAGTAATAGTTAACAGTGTTCTGCCAACTTTCTGAGCATCAAACTTCTTCTCCGCATATCTACTTTTCGAGGCTGTATTTTATAAATAATAATTCAAAGATTTGTTTTCTCACTCTCTCGTCAATGATGCAGCTGGTCACGATCGCATTATCTCTAATATTATTCTGCAGCCTTTTTGGAATAATAGAGGTCGCGAGCCACAACCATGATGCGGTAAGAAAACTTTAGGTATCTCAATTTTGAAATGAAAAAACATTAGCATCTTTACTCTTTCGATCTACCCAATTGCCAAATTAATTATAGATATGTTAAATAGTTTATAATGGCATATTAAATTAGTTAATTTTTTAAATAAAAGGGTCTCTCGACGAATCACTACGCATCTCTTCGAAATCAAGAATTAAACTCCGCAAACCAAGCGTGATATTGCATATTGTGCAAATAAATTCATTGCATATATCATATACCTATTTACTATACATTTAACATCAAAAATATTATTTGTTATACTTTTACAAACCCTTATTCTTGCAGGTGACAGTTAACGATGTATTAGTAAACGAAGGTATAGTATGTCCTTTAAATTGTTAGTACATAGAATTATATATTACCCTTGAGAATTATCATTGATTGTATGTATGTACTTCTATTAGAAATAGCATATTTTCTTTTTTTCTTCTTATGAAGCTAATTCCATTTTTCTAAGATTATAAAAATCTTTACCGTATGACAAATTACGTCACTTTTGAAGCTTGTTTGCGGAATAAATGTTTTTGGCAGAAATCCACACAACCCCATATTAATATTAAATAAATGCAATATTTTTTGCCTTTAATTGTTGTTATGATTCAATTTCATTTACATGATATGTTAAATTTATAAACTCTGTAAATGAATAAATAGGCATTTTCAACAAATAATTTTTATACAGATAATTCTGCAGATAATCAAAAGAAGAAATCAACTTCTTGTGTTTTTGGCGTTAAATCAGTCTCGATGACTTTGTTTACGAGGTAAAACACTCAACATTCATTTTAAACAGGACTATAAAAAAATTTTTTGGAGAGACACACAAACCAGAATGTTTTTTAAAGATTTTAAGTCATTGAATCGTAAACCATTTTACTTCATATCATGTTTAATTATTTAAATAACCGAAAAAAATGTTTAATCACTTGACTATTGCACAAAGGTACTTTAAAGGAACAGGTTCATATTTTAACATCTAATGTTATAGTAAAGCATGTTTTTATTTTGTACTCTTATTTAACAAACAAAAATATATTTAAATCGGTTCTGCAACCGCATTTTAATGTCATATTTGTTTTAGCTCTTTTCTTAAATGTTTCAATTTTCACAGATATTTTATAACTTTTCTTAATTATTTAAAAAACTGGACATGATGGAGCAAAAAAATTTACGGATTTGGATTCAACAATCCAAAATCTATAAGAACAACCTACTCTGTTTTGTACTTAAAAAAAATTTTTTTATCATTCTACATATGTTATTAATTTGTTCCTTGTTTGTTTGCATTTTTATAGTGATAATGGTAATGGAAAATTCGAAGTAAACGAATCTTACGATGTTCTTGATCGTTCGAAACCGGTTTATTTCGTGGTTCATGGATTTATTTCAAATGATTCTCCTTTTAACTTATTTGATCTTGTTTTTCTATTGTCAAAGGTAAATATTTTTCGTTTAAAACAAAATTTAAACACTTTTCTATAATTTTCAAATTCTTTTCATATTGTACAAATAATATAAAAATATTATAAGATTTACAAGGAAAGAATTAAATGAAAGTATTTCTTTTCTTCTATAGGAAAATACGGTATTTTCACTAAATTGGTCTGACACAGCGTGTTACAATAACTCATCTATCACAAAACTACTATCTTCTTCTGCAGTGAAAAATACTCGAGATATTGGTGACTACTTGGCAAGGTACGACTATTTTGCGATGTTATATCGATCAATAAAAAAATACGTATGTAATGAATATAAAGGACCAGACACTTAGATGGAAAAGTGGCCACTATTAAAATAGAAATGACATGTGCGAAAGTATATTTTATGAGATACTGATCAAAAGTCTCAATGACAATCTTTTAAAATCGCTAGTTTTTACACTTTTATTTTACATATATATAGGCATCTTTAATATGACAGAGAGAGAGAGAGAGAGAGAGAATAAAGAATAATTTTCTAAAATAAATTGATTTCAAGCAGTCTTTATGAGATGACAGTGTAAAAACTAGCGGTTTTTAGAAGGTTGATGTTATTGAGACTTTTGATCAAAAAGTCTCAATAACATCATATCTCAAAAAGTATACTTTCGCATGTTATTCTTATTTTAATGGTGGCCACTTTTCCATCAGATTAGTGTCTGATCCTTTAAATTCAAATTATTCCTATTGCAATTTGAATAATTTTCTAAATAATATAATAATGAAATTGAGTGATACCAATAATCAACACAATGTATATATAACGTAATAAATATAGAATCTATTAAAGTTTACATTTGTACATTGTAATGGCTGAAGGATTATTATAATCAAGGAGTAATGTTAATTGAATAAGAGATGCAATTTGATTTCTGTAGAGTGTAACATTTGTATTTCTTTTTCAGCTACACCTTGTCACTGATCGAATACGGTGTTCCATTGAAGAACATCACATATATTGGCTACAGTCTCGGTGCACATGTAATTGGCTTCGCCGCAAAGAAACTTCAGATGTTGAATATGATAATTCCACGTCTCATTGGTGTCGATCCTCTGGCTTACGGATTTATGTTTAACAAGTGCGAGAACAGATTATGTTATACAGACGCCCAATTTGTAACAGTTCTTTACACATCTCCTCTCAGCATACAGAAATCTGTAGGTCAACTTAATTTGTGGTTTAATAACGGAGCAGGCCAACCATATTGTGGTGGTAATTATTATATTTAACATAAAAATAAATTATTCCAGGGAAATATTGCAAAATCAATAGCTAATAGAAAGAATTAATTACAAAGGAAAGTTTTTTATTTTACAGACGCATTAATTAATAATTCGAACATTAAGTGCTCGCATTCTATGTCTATCATATATTTTATTAATATATGGTCAGGTGATTGTGAATTTCTTGGTGTTCCTATAAAGTAAGTATATTTTTTACTAAAAATATATTTAAACTTATAAATTAAAAAAGAGGACATATCACGAAATGATTTGTGAATTTGTTACGAATTTTGCTCTCCTTTAACATAATGAATCTATATAAAAATAAATTATATCGTGTCCGTTTTTTTTTTTATGAATGTACATTATAAATAGTATTTTTTAATGTATGAATGAAAGATTCCGCTCTAGTTATATACGAATAAGTTAATTTTTCAAATAAAATTTAATAAACTTATAATGTGGTAAATAAAAGGTGTCATGGACACAATAAGGTTCAATGATGAATAGTTTTTAAGTTATAGTGTTTTTGAACTAAGATGTTCTATCCATAAATATATGTTTCACATCTTTTATACAGGATGTCATTAACTGATTAAATCACCTATCAAGAGCAGGTATAGAGTAGACCGAACTGAGTCGAAAATTCTTATATTATTTTGCAGTTTACGGAATATTTAACGAGATATCAGACCTTAAAAATAGCCGAATAAACGCGTTCGTCCGGTCTATTACTGCCAAGCAGTTTACATACGCCTCTCAATCGCTCCCTACGCACGCGGGTTGCGAGCATATGTTGGATTCACATTGCATCCGATTTTCGTCGTACGACGACTTTGCAACCAATTAAAAAAATCGTATCATCGATACGAAGCAAAATTTTGTTTCCTGATTGGTTGCAGAGTCGTCGTACGACGAAAATCGGATGCAGTGTGAATCCAGCAATAGACATAAGTATATAGATAGACCGAGCATTGCCATATGCCAAACAAGGATATCGATGGCTGGCGCATGCGAGAAGGAGGAAACACAATTAGATTTTTCGTTCTCTCTCTAACAGAAGACAGTGGGGGCTGCATCGTACTCCCACTTTCTTCTATTAGAGAGAGAACGAAAAATCTAATTGGGTTCCCTTCTTCTTGCACGTGACGACGTGACTGCATGCCATGTCTCCCGCCGCATGCTCGGTCTATCTATACTATGTCTATGGTCGCTTATAGACACGGGGATGACCTGAGGCGCGCCGTCTGAGTTTAAAGCTCGCGGCGGTGTGTGCAGCGCGGGGCGCTTCCCACTCCCCGCGCGCCAAGCTAACGATGGCGGATATTCAGCAATACACTGTTAAAAATATATACACACTAAATTTCATGTAAAGTAACGGAAGCAAATTTCAAGCAGGTACATTAAATCGTTCAATGTTGTCAATGAGCATAAAATTACAAGTAACTTATTGATTTAACGATTGCAATGTACCTGTTTGAAATTTGCTTCTGTGAAATTATGTGTGAAATTTAATGTAGATATTTTTAACAGTGTAGGCCGGACGAACGCGTTTATTCGGCTATCCTTAAAGCTAATATCTCGTTAAATATTTTGCGTAAACTGCAAAATGATATAAGACTTTTCGACTCAGTTCGGTCTACTCTACCTGCTCTTGATAGGTAATTTAATCGGTTAATGACACCCTGTATAACATTCCTTATAGCTTAAAAAATTATTTTTATATGTACCTAATTTTTATAAGTATCTAATTTTCTATGTAATTAATGCGGGGTCTGTTACTTACACTAAATACTAAAAAACTATTTACAAGTCTTATTTTACAAAAATCTCGAATACGATATAACTTATATTCCATGTAAATTCATCATGTTGAAGGAGATCAAAGTCCGTGATGAGTTCTCTGTATCCTCGGCTTGTTAAATTAATCAAATGTTTGTAAATTTTTCTAAGCTAAAAAAAGCCTTAATATCAAATTAAAAACTTTTCTATAATGTTTTTAAGCTTCATTATTATAGTCAAATGTACATCATTTTATATTTTTTTTCAGTAAGAGAACAAATCCTCTCCTCAGGTATGTATAAATGAGTAAATCTTTTACTTGTTAGAATTATTTATATAGAGAAAGATCGTTGATATTGTCATACTATTTCGTTTTTGGACAATATTTCTTAAACAAAATTTTACACTGTATGCAAGAGATTCGGTTTTAATTTCCGAGGTAATATTTTTCGCATTAAATATTTACAGATTTCTATTATATTAAGATCTTTCTAATAAATGGCCTATTGAGCATCACAATTTATTTGTGATATTATTTCGGTAATTTAGCTACGTTTTTAAGTCTGATAAAATTTCGGCGCTCAGTTAAAAAATAACTATAAATATGTATATCATATTCAATAGAAACTTGACTAGAAACTCTTACACAGAACTTAAGAAGAATTAATTTAATCTAAATTGTATAAATTTAACTTATAATAATTTTGTACTTTATATTTTATATAACATTGAAAATGACCCGATCGGAGTCGAAACGTTTGTTTTTGGGTAAATATTAAGAAAAGGATAGCCACCTCCGATGACTTTAATCTTGACATATGTTGTCAAGGTCGTGATCTCCACCAGGTTTTAGATGACGGACGCTGTTAAAAAGTTACGAACAAAAAAAGTTTGAAAAATTACGTTTTATTTCTGCTATACATGTATAATGATTTAGAAAGTCGTGTGGAAGCAGGGGGGAAAGGTTGGGTGGAAATCGCTCTCCTCTCCAATGGGACTTCTATGATTGTACTGTTACACGTGGGTTTTGACTTTCCACGCAAAATGAGAGCTACTTTACACCAAAAAATGGGTTGACTTAGGTTATTTTTAATAGTAGTGAAGGTAGGGAGGCTGAACCTACTGCATTCACGCAAAGCGACTCTCACTCCACCTCTTCCTCTGCGAAGAAGCACGCAACTTCCATGTCGCTTTATGTTGTAAAGTGTATGCGTAGATGCAGTAGGTTTCGTCTCCTCTGTAGGGAGCTCCATTACTGTTAAAAATAACCTAACCCAACCCATTTGTTGGTGTGGAGTGGCCTTTGTTCTCATAGACAGTTGAAACCCATATGCAATAGTACAATTATGGAAATCGTGCGCCTCTGTTATCACATGTATAGCAGAAATAAAACATAATTTTTCAAACTTTTTTTGTTTATAACTTTTTAACGGACAGCGACCGCTACATAGGTGGAGGTCACTCAGGGTCACGACCTTGATAACATATATCAAGATCAAGATCAACAGAGGGTGGCTCCGTTCTTCTTAATATTTACCCTGTAATTATTTCTATGTGAATTATATATACTTATATTAAAGTTACTAAAAAAATCAATCAAAATTTGGATCCGAAGACCAGGCAAATGAGAGTCAACGTGGTTATTAGTACGTAATAATACATTTATTCATTTAATGTTATAAATACATGTATCTTTTGGATCCAAATTTTGATTGATTTTTTTAAATAGTTCGTAAAAAGGTTACACTTTTATTATATTAAATTTACTGTTCAGACTTGAAACCCTTTGGTTGTTAATATTTTGATTTTCTATAATATAATATTATTTGCAATTTTGAAATAATTAACTTTTCCGTAAGACAAGCAAAAATAAGCGTCTGAAAATGAATTTTAAAACTAATACAATAGGTTTATTTTAAATACATAGATCACGTTTCTACCAGTATAATAAAATGCAATGTTTAATTTCCGAAAAATAAAGGAATGTCTCTTATTTAAAAGATTTATGATAGTATCCACGACTTTTAACTACTTTCTTTGATGTTTTGCGACTTATTACTGAATATTTTTGCAGTGTCCCGCCCGGTTGTTCTATCAATAGAATCGGCAGCGTTATCGTGGATAATAAAATATTCAAAAGTAACAGTACCATTGTAGGAGACTATTGTATCCCTGTTACGTCAGAATATCCTTATTGTACAAAGAAAAATTTAAAGAATTTGAAGAGATGTGAAAAATATGAAATAATTGATAATAATTCCAACACTTCAGTTTTATTGTAATAAAAATTTAAGTGTCAAATTTACTGTAACTTATTTTTGTTTGAAAGTTTTGCGCAATTAATAACTTACAATACGTATAATTAGATTTAATTATATGATTAGCATGTCTTTATCCTCGCTTTTATCTTGTATAAATTTTTATTGTTAGAATCCGGCTTCTGTGTTATTGTTAAAAAGAAATGAATAAAAAGCAATGCAAATCTATATACAGTTTAATAAAAGTTGTTAATAGATGGAAATTGGAGTTTAAAAGATGCTAAGAAACTAAAAGAATTAGCATCAAATTTTATTGTCCATTATCCTACATTTATCAATTAATTCATTAAAATTATGTTATATTATAGGTATGATATAATATATAGTGTATGTATAATAATTTTAATTTTGTATTATTAATTACTTATTTTTTTATATAAAAAAATATCTTATATAAGTAATTTATATAAAAAAAATATCTTTATACAAGTTCTTAATATCATAATTCGTAATTAATATTGTACTTAAACATTATTTGTCGCATAAATATTTCCTAAACACTTTATTCGATTACGTTATTTTTAATTGATGCAAAACGCAATTAGATTTGGCACTATTATACTGTACGTACATATTTTCACTGTCATCGTTGTTGCACGAAAGTATAGCGTATCTTATCGATGTTCAAGTCTTCCTAATTTTCGGTAAAATACATATTGTATATATAATGAAAAAATTATAAGTATAAGTAGAATTGTTGCAAATTGTAAATTGCAAAAAATATTTAACAATAAATAAAAGTGAATTTTTTGAAGAATTGTGAAAAACACTTTTTTTAAAAATTATTAATTAAACTTAATACGGAGAGATAAAATTAAAGGAAATATAATTAAAAGTGTATATTTTAATTTAAAAAATGTGTATAAAAACATTTCTGTTTCTTTTTACAATACAAATACGCTGAACCTCATAATAGAGTGCGATTCGGGGGTTTAAACGCTACTACATCGAGGTTATCCCTACTTTACTCCAAAACAATTAAAATTCAATATTTTAGTGGTTACTGCTACTCCCCACTCATGCTACTCATAGCGCGGAAGGGATTTTTCACGTTATTTCGAGGTTCAGCTATTTTGAGGTTTTAGTGTCTAGCTAGTGTATTAACAATCGGTTAGCAATAAGTACAAATCCGCGTATATTCACGTATATTCTCGAGTATTTCTTACGAGTCTTTATAAAAAGTGACAGTAATTGCAATGACAGCCTATACTATACAATCTATATTATATAGATTTCACAGCTTTAATTGCAGAAAATGATAAATATTGTATAATTCGTGAAATTTCTGTTTTTCAATCTTTAATACATTATAGTTCATTTGCGTTGCTTACACTTTAATTTATTTGAAAGTTAAATTAAAAACTCTAATCTGAAATTTTGAACGTAAATAGAGAGTAAAAAAAAAAGATTGGTCACTACAGTAAATTAAATGATAAAATATGATATAGCATTTTTAATTGGCTGCAGCAGCCAATTTTTGGTTGTATTAGCCTATCGAAATCCTATATTGACATTACGCATGGATTAACGCAAACAAAAATTAGCTACTGCAGCCAATTAAAAATATAATAAACCATATTCTTCTATCTAATTTGTTGCAGCAGTTAATTTTTTCTTGAAAAGTCCGAGAATTCCTAAAAAATGGTTTTACAAGATTTATCAGTAAACCCTAAAAAATTGTTATTATTATGTATTAACCCTCAACTAACTCCGTTAACTAACTACAGCGTAGAAAATTCAATGTTGTCAGCAATATACGGCAATACGTATACATTATCATAAATTGCACTATTATTTACAGAATAGCCAGTTCTCTTATCTTCAAGTTGATAGTGCAGACATGCATCGCTTTTTACATAATTATAACAATAACAACTTCGTAAAACGTTATTTTTCGAATGCTTCAAACTATCTCAAAGTGCATTTTGTGCGTAGTTCTTTACAGTAATACGAATATGTACATGAAACATGAAGGATGGAGTTGGTATGTTTATATTTTTACAACTCTATTACGTAAATTTTGCGAAACGACCTACGTTTCTCCAATATGAATATATGTATATAGGGTGTTCCATTTCAATTGATGCACACTGAAATAACATGAAAACGATTAAATTTAGAGAAAAATAATTAAAACACGAGTTGTATAGCCAGGAGAGAGAGATAAATAATAATAAAATTAATTTACAAAAAATTCGATTTTTTAAGACCACATAAAGGTGTCACCGTCATTTTTTAAATAAAATTGTAACTTTTTTACAATAATTCTTCAAATTATTTTGCATATATATAGGTATTAAAGTATACTGAAGAAAAGATTGACCGCTGCAGCAAATTAGATGGTAATTTCTTATGAGACTAACCCCGGATCTGCAATAGAGTTTTAAGCCTTAAGCCATAAGAAATGGACAAATCATAATCGATTATTCTCCTCGAATTCGACTGTAATTGGTTAATTTCTTATGGCTTAAGGCTTAAAACACCACTTGTAGATGCGGGGTAATACTTTAACATGCAGAATAACTGGAAGAGCAAAAAAATCACACAATTCTATTTTTTCTAATGACGATGTCTTTTATGTGATTTTGAAAATTCTATTTTTGTAAAAATTGATTTTACTATATTAATAATTAATACAAATAGAAAGGGCGATGTAAGAGTCAAGTAAAATTTCATTTAAAAATAATACAATATATATATTTAATTTCAAATTTTAAAAAATAATAGAATATAAATATAAAAAAATATATAT